TGTGGTACCGAGAATTCCAAGAGCCGGGAATTGTGGTACCGAGAATTCCAAGAGTCGGGAATTGTGGTACCGAGAATTCCAAGAGCCGGGAATTGTGGTACCGAGAATTCCAAGAGTCGGGAATTGTGGTACAATAAAAATGAGCTAGCAGACCTTGAACTCCTGTTTAACATGTCGGTCATGTTAAGCCTTAAGGGAATCTTTCTAGCGTAGGCCTCGCTACTGCACGTCCTGCAGTACTAACGTACTTCCTAACGTACTGCACACCGCAAGTACACTTGATATAATTTTTAACAGGTGAATCATTTCAAAACACTAATGATATCGTCTGATATCGATTTTAACTTTAACTACCACATGACCTTGAATTGTTGACATTTTTATTAATAACGTATTGGCTGACGGGACACGCTGTCATGAAGTTAACCACTACATATACAGACTGTGTTGTTGTTGTGCGTCAAAAACTCTGGAATTTGTGGCGCAAGATCAACACAAAACATTTGCCAAATTTGGTTATCTTTAGAATGAAGGATGGGGGGGGGGGGAGCTCACGAACCTTCACTGCTCACCTTACTAACCGAGTGGGAATGAACTCATTTATACTCATTTATATTCGCCTTCTTCCAGAAAATAGCATCTTTCGCCCTCTAGTGATAATGGAAAATCAAACATTGAAAATTAAGCTTACAGTAATATGAAAATGTGTCTTTCATTCCATTATCAAAGTACAAAATAAAAATACATGATATAAACCAAAAAAAGGACAAAAAGTGAAACTACAACCACGTACACTTTGTAGAAATCATTTTGCAGCACAAGCTGAACTTATAAACGAAAATCCTAACACTATAGCTTTTTTTTTTTAATTTGTCGAAATTAATGCAAAGGAGTTCAGGAACAAAAAAGTAAGGTTGTAGTAACTTAGTAATTTGCTGTTTTTGAAATGTTGTAATGAATACTGGAGGATTTGTTTGTTTCAGAATTTCGCCCAAAGCTACACGAGCGCTATCTGCGCTAGCCGTCCCTAATTTAGCAGTGTAAGACTACAGGGAAGGCAGCTAGTCATCACCACCCACCACCAACTCTTGGGCTACACTTTTACCAACTTTTTATTAAGTGGGATTGACCGTCACATTATAACGCCCCCACGGCTGAAAGGGCGAGCATGTTTGGTGTGATGGGGATTCGAACCCGCGACCCTCAGATTGTGAGTCGAGCGCCCTAACCACCTGGCCATGACGGCCCTAATACTGAAGGGATTTGGACATTTTGAAAATAAAGTTAGAAAAGCCGCAATGGCGAAACATTGGCGGAAATAAGAAGTTTTAATGTTACTATCTGAAGAGTAAAAGTCATTTTTGTAAATTAGTACTTGAGCTTCTCTATTCGCCTAGAAGCACAGCCAAACATTATTGTCTCAAAGTGGGTTCCTTGTCATTGAATTTGAAAACATTGTTGTCCTTCGAGGCTTTAAAAAATTATAAGGCGCTCTTCGGTTTACACACCCAAAGCAGCTAAAGAAAAACCAATATTGATATAATAATATACAAGTGCCGATTTTTTTTTTATTATTTTCTTTTGAGATTGAAATATTATGCAAAAAAAATATTCTCTAGTTTGAATTTGATGACGAGGAACCCACTTTGACACTAATAAAGTTTGGATACAGATATTTCGACAAGGTTTTAATACGTTAAAAACCTTATAAATAAAGTTTCGACACTCTGCTTAACGTACAACATAGATGACGAAATCCACCTTACAAAGCATTCCTTCATTCACACCAACAAATTTCCACCAGTTATTGACGAAAAATCTTCATACAAGCACCACAACAAAAATATCAAACTCAACTCACAAACAAACTTAATACTAAAAAAAACAAAAAAAAAACAAGCAATTATACAATACAGTTTACCATTTGGACTTGTACAAACTTACCAATAAACAAAATCCTGTGGACTCAAAAATCTGGCCCTAAACTAAAATCATGTAGCATCAACAGTACCAACGTTAATTGCAAAATAACGTGTATATCGCAGAAGCCAGATTCACCAACAGAACAGAAAAATCCTCTCATGTTTAAAAATATTGTAATTTTAAACAAAGAACCAACATCAGCAAACGTAAAAGCAGAGAAGTCGTTTTAATTGAATAAAACAGCCCAACTAAACCAACACCCCAGAGTGCCAAGATACCTTTAATAAATTGTTACCTTTTTGTTCCATAGTGTATATAAATTACTACGTGTAGGTACACTACTTGTACCTGATGATGACAAAGCATTACAAAGACATTTTAAATGTGTTACTACGTCAAACTTGTAATCGTTCCCTTCGTTACATATTCAAACCGACTACAAATTTTATTATTTTTGTAATTGTAACAATTGATCAAAGTAGCAACAGTGCATTTTAAGATCAATTCTAATATGTCAAATAACATACGCTTATTCACATAAGCTTTTGAGTTCTTTAAAGAAAGTTTTTAAATCCGTTTCGATAAAACTATATTTTTGAAACTGTTCTAAACGGGTGCTGCTCTCTAGAACAGATGTTTAACAACACACAAGCTGTGGGTAAAATAAACAAAAAGCCAGTTGCATTTTCTTCAGACTGTTACAGTTGTTAATTTTTCAACTAGTCAGTTGAATGTATCGATAATCAATTGAAAAAATCAAACTGACTCTTACTCCTACACATTAGTCTACAACATATATAGAAATTGAAATGTTGGGATTGCTACACAAGTCTAAAGCTTTACAAATAGCTTCTTTCTTTTTTCTCAGGTAAAACATAATAGGAGAACATGTGATGTTGATTTATTTCCATAGTTTGAAAGCCACAAAATTAAAGACATCTTCTTAGCTTCAAAAGAGAATAATGATCTTCAACATTTTAATAAACAAACGTTACATCTGGAACATCATACGGTATAACATTAAAATAAAGCATCTTTAGAACAACATTTGTCCAACCCTGTTGGGATACGACATATTCCCAGAATTCCACTCACGTGCGACGTCAAACGAAAATAATTCATATTTAAGTACTAATATAGTCCGCCAATAGGCTAAAACTAGGTGTTTTATTATTATTATTATTATTATTATTATTTTATAAGTGAATATAATAAATAATTACTAAAGCACATCTAGTATTTTAATGTTATATACGGGTATTACATCTCGTCACTTAATTCACTCTTTCACTCATTAAAAACAAAGGGGGGCAAACAAGAAACCGTATTCATTAAAGGGGGACTTGGATGACAAAAGTTTGGGAATCGCTGCAGTACTGCATTAATAAACGAATATTTTTCTCATTGCCTGTCGTGAAATCAAACTGTTCGTATCATCGTGATGCCTAGGGGTAGTCATAAGGAGTCTTGCAACAAAAATAAAACAAATTATTACAGTATATAATGTTATCTAAAAAAATTGTTGATGTAGAGCTTTAAAAAAAAAGGTAAAATAAAATACAAATTGCCCTTGGCCTTTGAATTGCTAGGGTAAAACCTATTTACAAAAATATCAGCGTGCTTAAGTTAAAATGGCTTCATTCTTAGAACATCAATTTTACAGTTCGTATATTTAAAAATTAAAGCGATTACATTATAACAGCCGGTATTACTTGTTCTTCAGAAAACATGTTGTGACCGATGTTATGGGAAAAGGATCACCTGATTTTAAACAGTTTAAAATTACAAAGCTCATGTAATATGTATTGAACTGGTTTCGAGACTTCAAATCACGAAATACCAATCTCACACATAAAGGTCTTAAGATTTTTTTTTTCTCTCAAAAGGCAAAGAAACTGGCAAAATGTATTCATTCAGTATGTTCGTCATTTTCTAGTCATCTCTCACGTGCTGTTATTATATGTGGGCGTGCGCGCGTGTGTGTGTAAAAAAATTCTAACAAATCCTATCAATCATTTTTTCACACATTCTTTACAGATACTCTCAAGATACATACTTATAATTTAAGCTATAACTTATATTGCGAGATGTTTTTAAGTCACATTGCTCATTGTTTTTTTGATTAAAAAAACAACTATTATATAAAATGAAATGTTATTTAAATAATTAAGCCTAGTGGACTTGAATAATTTTATTCTTATGTATTTTCAATATTTATATTACTACTAAATTTCTCGCTCTGCATCACACGGGAACGTCTGCTAGTGCTAGTATTACACTAATTGTTACTGTCATGTTTTTAACCTTGTATTTCCACTTACTCAATAGTCGTTGAAATGTAAAATATATAAAGAATGTTTTTGAATCATCTACCTTGTAACATAAATATTTCAACACAAATAAAGTACATACCTTGTTATATTGTTCAAACAAACCCCTGAAAGTTGAACATAAAGTATAACCAATGCAAGGACGAACGAAAATCTTTTGAAATTAATAATTTCTTGCTCTTGGAGAGATAAAAAACAACAACTAAATTTTGCACGTGACACATACCAGGAATCAACCAATCACAAGCTCTTTCGACGCTGTGCCAATTTCCAAAACACACCCTTCTCGAATACTATCAGTGAATATTATCAATTTCATTTCCACAGTTAAAATTTCCAAGTGAACTAAATGTAACCTAACGTCTGCAGTTTGTTTTCATAAACTGTTAAACATGTTTCTCTTTGACTATCTGCATTTATGACTGACGCTGTAAAGTTAAAAACCAAGAGTATGTACCAATGGGAACGAGTACTTACAAACGTTGCTGCTCCTATTCTCACAAAAGTAGGCCTACCCCTGAATAACCTTCGTTGGGCTGTGTTCGTTTTGTCGCAGTCTTTATAAATTTTGCAAGTTTTTTCTTCTTTTTTCTAATACAGATCTTCATCAACTAGTAATGGGTAGAAAAGTGAAAAAAAAAGGCTCAACTGATAGGTAGAACTGTAGCAAGCAATATGTTATTGTTAGTTTCTATTTTTAAATGTTCACTTTCATTTTGCTGTTAAAACACGTCTTTTTGAAAGAAATTTCGTCTGAGAAATTTTTAAAGCTTTTATGGTGTGAATATGGGAAGAAAAAAAAGACTAGTATGGTGCATAAATTTTTATTTTACAGTATGGACCTAAAAACTCACTATGATTCGGTTTATCAACATGTCAGAATTATATACCTGTCAGTTTTAAAATATTGTCAGTTTATGAAGTGTACATCAAAATCTGTATATATATCTATATTATCTCATGAAATATTTCCCAGAAATTTGAATAGGAAAATAATAAAATTGAGTCTCAATGAAATTTTTTTTTACGGTACAAACATTATGAAATACATTCGTTGGCGTGTTTTTCTTATTGCAAAGTCACATCGGGCTGTCTGCGGGAGACCATTCGTTTGCCCTAGATAACAGAATGTATACTTTAAGCAACAGAAAGCGTGTCTTCCCAAACGTTAAACATTTTTGTATTGATCATTACTTATTTACTCGAAACTGTAGTCCCAAGTGGGAGAAATCAGTGCTCAGGCCTAATACCTCACGTAAAATAAAATAGGACGTCCTTCAGTTTTTTTTATGCTAACGTTTATTAAAGAAAAGTAACGCAAATAAATATATGGTACGTCACTTTAAACAACTTAATCTTATAATAAACATCTCTTCCTCTCTCCAAACCACATCTGTATTTAACATCTTGTTGTCTTCGGTGGTTTAACCTACAACACACTTCTTTTTTATAGGTGAAATAGTAGATCTATTTAAGTACGACATTCCAAGTACAAATACTGTTTGTACTCGAAATGTACATAGTACGTATCATGTCTCACTGTTGGCCATCGAACGATATATCCAAACAAGTCTACTGAAGGCCATAGGAAGCGGTAAGGCAATGGCCTAACCACTTTTTCATGGCATGTATAGCTTCAACTAATGTATTAAAACTTGCTTCTTTTAATCCAGTACAGTACGTTGCGTGTATGCAGTATTTGTATTTCAAGTAGATTAAGATTCAATTTCAAAACATTAAATTTTCAAAAATATTCTGGGGGACATGTCCCCAGATCTCCCTAGAAATGGCATACTTTGCATGCCAGTAGTGTGTACCACCAATAGCTGTTTCAAGAACCTGCATGAAAAGAAACAAAATACTATGATGATTATAATAAGTATAACTTGTAGTACATAGCACAAAAGAAATCATAGTTATGTGAATTTCAAATAATAGGATTCATCGTGTATTTCTAGACACAACACATATAGTTAACAGTTTTCCATATATTTTTCTCACATTTTTTTCTATATATGTTATAATATATACTGTTGTACATACAACGTTTCGGGCAATGCCCTTCATCAGATATCTCTAAATGAACAGTAAAACCGTAAACGTAAAACTTTGAAATTGAAGGTCGCTTGACAATATGGCAAATAAACGTCTTTAATAATGTTTACAAACGCTTGAAACAATATGTGAGAATTAGAAAGTTATATATATATATACATATCTATATGTACACACAAATAAACTGAGAACTTGGTAAAAGTAAGAAAACAATTATTCGATACAAGTTATAAGAAACCCTCTATGAAAAAATAATAAAGAGTTAGATAAATACATAATTTACTTTATAAATGTCGTGTGAGAAGATGGAAACATTACAAAAAGCTAAAACGTTCATTTATCTCATCTGGGTGGGTCAAAATGATTTTGTTTTCCTGTAGTTCGCGTTTCTAATTGTTTGTAGGAGCCTTCTTCAAAACAAGTATTTTAAAATGTTCAGGGGTATGGTTGTAGAAATTAAATTGTCGAGCCAATGGTTTATCTGTATTACAATTTGTTATAATTCTGAGATGTTCTCGGGTCCGTTCTGCTAATAATATAGTGGTTTCTCCTATGTATAATTTTCCACGTGCATACAGTGGAATCAGAGACGCAATTAGCGCGGGGCAGACGGAGCAATGCCCCGGGGCCACTGAGAGGAGTATATGATGCATTTTGATGTGCAGTTGCATTGATCCTTAATGTAAAAACTCAATTTAGGGCCCTGTACAGATGTACTTGGTTCAATGTAAGCACACGTGTTGCAGCGTCTTCTGTTACAAAGATAGCTATATATAGTAATATTTGCGGGTTTTTGAAAGCTGCTGTGAACTTGGTAGTTTCCAACCACCACGAGTAATTTCTTACAATGTTTTGTGCTTATTTCACTTATAGCCTTTACCAGAACTTTATATATATATTTGTGTGTGAAATATTCATCAAACGTACGTTTCATCTTCTAGTTAATCTTTTTCGCGTAAGTTGTTTTGCCAAGAGAACCAAGCATGTATTTAGAACAAAACTTAATCCTTATATTCAAAGCACAAAATGCTGTGTGTCTGTCTGTTTGTCCGTTATCGAACTCCTCCTAGGTCACTGGGCCAATCTCAGCCATCTTTTGTGGGATTATAGTTTGGAACAAGGAGCATGCTAATAGAGGAATCACAACCCTTCAAACCCCATTATTGGTGTTATTAAGCATTTATTATCTTTGATGTAAGATAACGTTAACTACACTCATAGATAACGCCACGTCTCTACACCAAAAATAAAAACTTTATTAAATATATAAAGAGAGAGAGAACAAAAATTTCTGTGTTTATCTACTTGTCCGTTATCTAAATACTCCTGTGTTGCTGGGTCAATCTCAACCAAACTTTGTGGGATGATAGTTTTGAACAAGGGTATCATGATAGAAAAGACTGTTTGGTTTAAATATCAGTGTTTAATTTATATTTCTGAGTGAATGTTTTATTATGTTTAACTTTTCCTATAATAAGAGTTAAAAGCAGATGATTGTAGGTTTTGTTAATAACTAATTAGTGTCGAGAATATAGAAAGTGGCCATACGACTATGTAATAAAGATATAAATAGCGTGAGATGAGCGGGAAGCAGCAAACAGACAACAATAGACAGATAATAGCAAAATAGAATATAGTTGTGTGAAGTTAAGTACCGCAAAGGTGATAGGTCTAACGTTTAATATGTTAGAGTGAAACTAACAGTATAAAAAAAGATAATTTTATTCCGTCAAAACGTGGTTCTAAAGTAATTGAATCAACCTGGGTACACTTTGACAAAAGGAACAGAGGATCTTCAGAAGAAGGAAGACCAAACGAATTACAGTAACTTGCGCCACAACCGTAAGTGAATCACACACAGAATACTAGTACAATAGTAATATAGAGAAGATAGTTCGACTTGTCACTGAAATTCTAAAGTAATTGAATAGGCCTAAGTGGACTTTTGACAAGAAGAAGAGAACTACATATATAAATGGTGTTTATGATATGCCTGTAATCTCTATAGTGTAAATACTTTATTGTACATACGTTTAACTTGTTCCAAATATATATATTATTTGAAAAAAAAAAAAGGTAAAGTGTGTGCTGTTTATTCATCGTTGATTTATCGCTAACAAGTCACAGACACCTACTGTAGAAGAATCCTAAGCCCAACAACTACATAGCATATATTTATACTATTAAGAAATATAAGTAAAAGCCATTTATCTCGACACTTGGCAAAAAGAGGAATTTATATATACAATATTAATATTTTTAATCTCACAAAGGGGTATGTTAAGAGCAGTTCACAAGCCCTCCATTTCCAATTTTGGTGTTATGAGCATTTATTATATTTGACGTAAGTTAACGTTAACTAAATTCATAGATGACGCTACGTTCTTACACCAGAAACAAAAAAAAACAACTTAAATATTCTATCAAACAACATACACACAGTGTAGGAGTAAACACACAAACGTCTTACATATCTCAGACAGTGTACTACCACTCTCTATGTAGGAATGCAATGAAAAAAATGGCCACTACTATTGAAATACTACCTAAACTAAATTGAAGTTTCTACTCCAAGAGCCACCATAAGGTTGGTATAAAGAGCCGTTTTTTGAATTATACCCACTTCCTACTTTGACCCGCGACCTTTCAATTTCGACCTCTAAGAGTCTTCTGCTGCCAATGACCGTCAATTAATTAATAACGTGAAACACTGTGAAAGGGCATTAAGAGCTGGGTGTTGAAAGCTGGTAACAGAAAGCGCTCCTACCGCCGCTATATTCTGCTTCCTACAAAGTCACCTTGACCATCGCACAGTGCATACCATGTTTTAAGTATATACATATTGATTTCTTAAAGCTTATACAAAACTTTCAGTGAGATAATAATAAATACTCTAATAATATATTACGTTATAAATAAATTGTCTGAAAGTTGGGATTTTTGTATTATTTATCATTCGATCCACCTAAGCCTGTATGCTTTATAAGGTAAAGAAATGTGTACCTTGAACTCCGTCCAGTTTTATGTTTACATTCATCATTGTTTTAATCAAAGCAATTGTGAATTTCTGTGTCAAAAAACACAACCACTCTCACTGCTATTTTGT